TCTGCTGGTGCTTTGCTCTTATTGTGTAAACCATCCAGTCTACAGTTTTTTTGTTATACCAGCCTAAACGGACTAAGATAGGCCTTCCTTAGGCACTCTTGATACTGCATCTCACAATGGATCCATATAGACCTACCTTGGTCTAGCGGTCCGTGACTAATGGTTTCTCAATGCTCAGTGTTCCTGCCTGGCTGGTAGGAATTCCACTTGGGTTAGGGGTCCCTACAGCCTCTGTAACACCACCAAAGTGTCTGAACATGTTTTTACATATTATCCACAAGATATTATAAGCCCATTTCTATTTTTCTGCCTTAAGCTAAGCTACTCACCAAGTCCTTGTTCTATATCGCTGCTGCATGATTGCTGGCTCCCTGGGATAAATGTGTAACCCAAGAAGTTGTGCAGCCTTTCATGGTGCTAATGCTGCTGATTCCAATTTAATGCTAGTTTTAACCTAGTCTCCATCTCCTACTTAAACATTTTTATTCTAGTTCAGTGTTTTCTGACCAATTTGAATGTCTCATGAACACAAATCCACAATTTTAGTTTCATTTAAAGCTAGAAACTTTAGTTTTCCTTTTATTAAAAAAATACAACTGGATTTGATCCAGGAATAACAGAGAACAATACCCCCCCCCACACACACACAGTAGTCATCCCCTCTGCCCATTTGGGCAGAGAAGTCATACTTGGACACTCATACACAGGTAGAAGCTGCACTACATGGGGATCTGTGGTGACTGGGTATCCAACTTCTTGGGAGCACATCTTGGAATTAGCTGTATTGTATACGGGTCAAATGACAAATGCTATCAGCAACACCTAAAATCTATCCACCAGATTACAAAAAGAGATTTCAACTCCCTCTACCCCAGTGCAACATAAATACTAAAGCAGAGAGTACACCTAGTATCAACGGTGGCATCCCGATACAATTAGTAGAGAATAGTAATATCAGAGAATACAAATAAACGGCTTTGGTATTTTATCAGAAAAATATCCTTTGGCTTTTCTATAGGTTTGGTTCTTTTTTAACCTAATCCCCGCTACTAAAATTTCAGCACATTCCACTTATGATCATATCACATATTACTATTTTACATTGTATAGTGACAGGTGGTGACTACACTTACGATGAGCATTGAATAATGTATAGAATTGTCTCATCAATACGCTGTACACCTAAAACTAATGTAACACTGTATGTTAATTATACTTCCATTTAAAAAATAGCCAATTCAGGTTACTGGCATGTCCTTAAGGTTTTCCAAAAGTACAGAAAAATCATGTACTTACACCCATAGAAAGTTCCAGCCTGCCACAAAATGTCCCATAGGAGTAGCGTGGTCCTTGTCGGTTCAGAAAGTGAGTAATGGTGGAGGAAAATGTGGACAAACCAAATAGAAAACAAGAGAAAGAGTTTATAGTCAGAAGATTCAGGAACCTGTCTGATCTGCGATGAACTAAAGGCAGAGGTATCAACAATCCAGACCTGAACAAACACTGTCAGAGAATGACAGTAGAACCTGGGCAAGAAAAAGGAACAACATCCAAGCAAATATCCAAATTTCAAGAACTTGATCCAACATCTAAATTCGAGGAATGCTCCCTGAAGGACTGAGGAAATGATCATGAAGATTGTCATGACCTCAGAATGAACATTCATTCAATAGAACATAAAAGTTGTTAAAGAGTCCAGACAGGTGATATTAGTACAGAAAGGTTTATCAATCACTAACCCATTTCCACCTAAATACCATCCTCAGTGGACCACAAATCAATACCACATTGGCGATAAGACAGAAAATCCAACTTTACTGTTTCAACATGAACATCTGCTTGGCAAATGCCAACATCGATATTTTAAAGGGAACAGTACTATTTTTACAGCAGAATCTATAAAATTCGTTAATTCGGTTACACCTCAAGCTAATCCAAATAAGGATTAAATTAACCTAAGCAGTAAAAACTGTCACTGGGGACTTGTTCCTAGTTTTACAAAAAAGTTTTAGAGCTTTTGACTCTCTACCGGCAACAACCAGTTACTTAATATTAGCTTGCTAATTTGACCTCGCTTTATGATCTCTCTCCGTTTCTCATTCCCAGCATCTGAACCCTCTTTTTACATGACAATTTTTTCACTAGAAAACGAATGGATATCACCCAGAGATCCCAGACTTAGAAGTGGATGTAATGATGTGAAGCTCTGGGTTATCCCTACATGGGGAAGAGAGTGAGCATGTCTTTGATTTTAAGATAGCTGTATTATGTTACATAGGAGGCTCTATATACATGTTCAAATCAAAGTACAGAAGGTGAAGAAAATGTTGACTTATGGGTTAGGCAGAAGAGAGGGCTATATACTGGAAATTTTCTTTGCTGCTGCTTTGCAAATGAACAAAATTCCACAAATGACGAATTCTCTACTTAATTAGTATGAGTGGAAGGTCAAGTTCACCTACCACTACAGACTCCAGGAAATACAAGGGCCAGTGCCTCTAATTCTCAAACTACCACGTAGCTCAGATACAGGCACAGCTTCAGATCCACCAGACCTAGACACTCACCTCAGACTTGGAATCAAAATAAAATCAATGTAGAGATATATTAAGAAAATTAATGGGAACGTTAAGGAACTCTCATAGGGCTCCACAGCATAAGTCTGGCAATCGTTTCTATAAATCCCTGAACATGATCTTACCGCTTCTTGCCAATTCTTGGACCCACCTAATATCCATTCAATAAACTCCTTTTTCTGAATCAATTGGCTAGCGTTGGCTCACGTGCTTCCCAACTAAGAACCCAGGTTGCTACAATTTGTAAAGAATAATGTGCTATTCACTGATGTGATCCATTGAGTCTTCTACAGTGAAACAGTCCGGGGGCAACCTCTGTCAACAAACTGGAAAAAAAAATATTTATTTTTCAAGATAAAGTTCTAAAAGCATAGGTAATTTAACTGGTCTTGTCAGGTATGTTAAGTAAGACACACAGAATAGATGCTATTGATTGAGCACAAAATCCAAATGAAATTTAAAAATACAAAAGTGTATCTGAAAACAGTATTTAAAAATCTGAGTCTCCCCTCTCCTAGCTGAAATCTCTCAAAAAAAAAAATCAAAAAACAATAAAACACATTTATCTTTTCAAGCCTAGAAGTAAGCTGAAACATCAAACCACAAAATGAGGTGGGGAGAGTACAAAAGCAGTAAAAGCTGAGGCGTGTGAGAGGACACATAACTATAGTTAACACTGCTATATGGTACATTTGAAAGATGCTAGAGAGTAAATCTTAAGGGTTCTCATCAGCAGGGAAAACAAAAAACCCCATGGTTCTGTCTTTATATGAAATGATGAATGTTAACTGTGATAACCATTTCACACTATATGTAAATCAAGTCAGGCTGTATACCCTAAACTTACACAGTGCCGTATGTCAACTATATCTCAGGAACCCTGGGGAAATGAAAAATTAGTTCTAGGAGAGTATTTCCTAACATCTAGGTAGTTAAAAACATTTCGGTCACTTTCTATTTATTTCTAATTTTACTGGAGTATGGTGAAAGAAATTTGGTTTGTAAAATCACTATAAATTCTTCCATGGCAAAGTACAGCTTTATTTTTGTGGATTTTACACAGACAAAAAATGTTTATGCTAGGGACATATGTCATTATACATACACACACACACACACACACACATATATATACACACATATATATGTGTATATACATATATATGTGTGTATATATATATACACGCCATACATATGTCATTAAAATCAAGCTATCGAGTCCCCTTTTTAACCTTAAATTTTAGGTTCAGAAGTTTAATTACATATTTTTGGCATGTTGTCACATGCCTTAAACTTATTATTGATACAGGAATTTTTGGTCGACTATCTTTAAATTAAGAGTATTTTTCCTACAAAGGAAATTTTTGAGCAAATAATATAAATTAACATTTTTATTAATTGAATCTATCTTATTTCAATGCACTTGGCAATCTTAATCCCCACTCAGAAACTGATATAATATTTATGACGTAGTGCACACAGACTTACATATTCAAGCTGGCCAGAAATACACACATGCTTCAAAAATTTTGCAGTTTTAAAAATTTCACTTTCAATGAAATATTTTCAATGTTTACTGAAGAGATTACTTTGCAATAAATCACTTCCCAAACTTGAAATATTCAGAGCCCTCGTTCTTCACCCAGTTGGCTTTATACTCATTTGTACAATCACGGCTTCTTGCCTTCAAAGTAAGATTCAACATGCCCAATGAAAATCATCCTAGCACTGGTATTGTTTCGTTTTTTTTTTTTTTAAGATTTTATTTATTTATTTGACAGAGAGAGACAGCGAGAGAGGGAACACAAGCAGGGGGAGTGGGAGAGGGAAAAGCAGGCTTCCCGCTGAGCAGGGAGCCCGATGCGGGGCTCGATCCCAGGACCCTGGGATCATGACCTGAGCCAAAGGCAGACGCTTAATGACTGAGCCACCCAGCGGTATTGGTTTTATCTATAATTTGGGGGGAGGGGAAGAAGCCTATTCAGGTCCCGTTGCAAAATTAGGACTTTTCACCATCTTATGTCTTCCCCAAAAGACAATGCATGGAGAACCCTGCTATTCGTCTATCTGTGCATTCATCGACTGAGTGAAGATGTCTCAGGGTGTGTGTGGAGCTAGTTTTCAGCCATCAGTAACTGTTGCCCAGAAATTTGATCACTGGCATGTGTGCTGTACTCTGGCTTAATCCTCAGAGAGATGGCTCCTCTTAGGGTCATCTCATGGGGACAGAATTTTACTGAGGGTGACCACTATCAGATGTCACTTTTTTCTTTAAGATTTTTAAAATTTTTTATTTATTTTGACAGAGAGAGCACAAGTAGACAGAACGGCAGGCAGAGGGAAAGGGAGAAGCAGGCTCTCTGCCGAGCAGGGAGCCCGATGCGGGGGCTCAATCCCAGGACCCTGGGATCATGACCTGAGCCGAAGGCAGCCGCTTAACCGACTGAGCCACCCGGGTGCCCCCAGATGTCACTTTTGGTTTCTCTTTCTTCCTCCAGGGAATTCAGCTCTGTTCTCTGGTCTCCCATTTCAGCTCTGAGCTTACTTTTTATTACCTCTCTAGGATCAAAGGTTTCAGGTCCGTGATAATCCATAGGATTAGAATTTATGATTTAGGGGCAAAGGCCAGAAAGACATATGAACCGCATCTTAGAAACCAACAAATAGCTACAAATCTTACCTAAAATCATTCTTGCAAGCTTAATTTAGGTGATGAGCACTTAGCCATGACAATGCTCTCTCACTCAGAAAACTCTCACATTAGGAAACATATTCCAGAGGGGGGAAAAAAAGACTACATGGGGGAAGGCAGAACCTTAAAAATAGAGCTCCTTTATACTACTTTGTAAATATAAAAATATGCCCTCTACACAGCCTGCATATCCTCAATCTTTCATATAGAACCCCTTCTGGCCTAAATTTCAAGTTCCCCATTCTCAGGGAAATATTTTCAATGAGGAAAATCCCTGGGAATCTAAGTCCGAAGGAGTGACCTACTCAAACTAATCCAAATGGAAATCTCAGAACCCTGAGGGATCTCTTATCTAGCAACCTAGTCTTTCCTAAATGGTCAAAGATGGAAATCTTTGGTTTAGTTTTTGTTTTTGTCTAATTTTTACTTCTCATATTACTTACTATAGTAAAACAGCACACATTCCAAAAGAGAAAGCCAGGCATAAACCTAAAAATCAAATAGATACACCCAGAAACCCTTTCAATTCTGATCCATACACAAGTATCACAATGGTTCTGGAAATTGCTGTTCTATACTCTTGGCCTGCTTTTTTTTTTTTCACTTCATATCATAGCCATTTTCCTATCTTTATGAAATCTTCACATATAATAGAAAGTGCTGAATAAAAGAGATTACAAAGTAGCTACTGGGGAAATCATGTCATAAAATGGTACTGAAATACCGTTTCCCAGCCTAGGTTCCAATAACTATAGCAATTTTCCAATCTTCTCAACAAGCCCACCAGTGTTTGCATTCTCACTCTTTATTGTTAAAGAGGTCTACCTCACTCGCAATCACTGCACAGTAAGTTGTCCATTTCATGGTAATTTCCTCAGATTCCGGTCAGAGTGCTTTCTGCAAGGAAAAGTGCCAATATTTATTACTTATGTGGCAATGTGTCATAAGGGCCAAGTTTGATTTTTTAATAGAAAATTGTTGAAGTAAATATGTGATTCATTGTTTTTCTTTCTTCTCCAGAACGAACTTCCAGATACACAATAAGAGAAGGTTAACATTTGAAAGAAAAGAGGAGAAAAGAAAAAAAAAAAAAAAAGAAGGAAAAGAAAGAAGGAAGAAAGGAGAAAGAAATGCAAGAAAAAGGAAAAAAAAAAAAAGAAATATACTCTGGCTGAAAGATTTCCAAACTAGTTACATTCATAGGGTTTCTCCTCAGTATGAGTTGCCTGATGCCTAATAAGTTTAGAACTATTAATGAAAGCCTTCCCACACTGATTACATGTAAAGGGCTTTTCTCCAGTATGAGTTCTTTGATGTACAATAAGTCGAGCACTCAAGCTGAATGTTTTCCCACACTGATTACATTCATAAGGTTTCTCTCCAGTATGAGTTCTTTGATGTTGAGTAAGGCATGAACTCTGCCTGAAGGACTTTCCACACTGATTGCACTCATAGGGCTTTTCTCCAGTATGAGTTCTCTGATGCACAACAAGAACATAACTCTGGCTAAAGGACTTCCCACACTGGTTACATTCATAGGGTTTTTCTCCGGTATGAGTTCTCTGATGCATAACAAGGTGAGAACTGCGGTTGAAAGATTTTCCACACTCATTACATTCATAGGGTTTCTCTCCAGTATGAGTTCTCTGATGTGCAACAAGCTGAGAGCTCCAGCTGAAGGATTTTCCACACTGATTACATTCAAAGGGTTTTTCTCCTGTGTGAGTTCTCTGATGGGCGACAAGTTTGTAACTCTGACTAAAGGACTTTCCACACTGATTGCACTCGTAGGGCTTCTCTCCAGTATGAATTCTTTGATGTGCAATAAGTTTATAGCTCTGGATAAAGGATTTCCCACATTGATTGCATTCGTAGGGCTTCTCTCCAGTGTGAGTTCTTTGATGGGCAATAAGTTTATAGCTCTGCCTGAACGATTTCCCACACTGGTTGCACTCATAGGGCTTCTCTCCAGTATGAGTTCTCTGATGCACCACAAGAACATAGCTCTGGCTAAAAGATTTCCCACACTGATTACATCTGTAAGGTTTCTCTCCAGTATGAGTTCTCTGGTGAGAAACAAGATGAGAACTCCGGCTGAAGGATTTCCCACACTCATTACATTCATAAGGTTTCTCCCCGGTGTGAGTTCTCTGATGTGCAACAAGATGAGAACTCCAGCTGAAGGATTTCCCACACTGATTACATTCAAAGGGTTTCTCTTCAGAATGGTTTCTCATGTTTTGAGCAAGAGAACTCTGGGAGGTTTGACTACAGTTATATTGACTCTCTTCAACAGGTATTCTCTGTTGTTCATTACGGGATATACTGTGGTTCAAAACTTGCCCACATTCCTTAAAATCTAAGGATCTCCCTCTTGCGTGTATTTTCTGATGTATATTTAGGGGTACATCATGGCTAAAAGATTGAATACTGTCACTAAATCCATAGGATTTATCTTCTGTTTGAGTTCTTGTAAACTGAATAAGGTGAATGTTCTGGCGAGGGTTTCCACATTCATTATTCTCACAGAGTTTCTCACTGTCATTAATCGTCTCATTAGTGTTTACAATGGAATTATAATGCAATTTTTTAACATGTGAGGCATGTTTATGAAAATGGTTTCTTATGGGTATCATCTGGGGTGAAAAAAGACTGGAATTCAGACCACTTTTCTCTTCAAGTTCATCACTTTTATGGACTCTCTCATAAGTAATCGCTTTCCTGTGAGTAAATGCCATTTCTTTCAAAAGTCTCTCTTGTTTCTCCTGTTGCTTTTCAAACTGGTCCTTACAATCCTGAACTTCTTCACACGAAGATAACCAAGGATCATCTCTTGTCAACCTTTCTACCTTCACTCCACGGGATGGTTCATCATCAAAAATGTTCTGCTTTGATGTTGATTCTCTTCTTCCAAGTGCCGTTGCCAAGTCTAGAAGAAAGCAAAATAAAACATTCTAGCTGAAGAATGTTAGAGTTAGAATACTGGGAAAGAAGCTGACAAACAAATATGCAGAATATATATAGATTTGTTTTCCGCTATGGACCTATAACCTGGATTAAGAAAACAGAAGGGTGGGATGAAGCAGTAAGCAGAGAAGTACACAGCCCAACAATATAACGACATTAAAATTCAGTGTTTCCGAATAAAAAGACTTTAGATGCCAAATATCTCCATATTCCAAAATAAGATCACCTGTGCAGAATCTACAGAATAACAATTTTGCAAGTCTTAGCAAAAACACCAGAGTCCTTTCTACCCTCTTTAGTGCTAGACACATGTTCACTGAAGTAGAGAACAGTATCTACATTTCTAGGAATTTCTGGAGGCATGGGTCAGTAAGACATGGGCAAACGACCTTGTGAACCAAGAAAAAGAATATCCCAGGTTCCCTAAATGCCTTAGCAGCTATTAAGGCGTGATGGATTCCTATGGTTCCAAGTGAGAGAGAATGGAGATTAGCTCAGAAGCAGAAGCCTGTGTGGCTACTAGGTCAAGCACAGAGAGTACATCTGGAAAAAGTGGCAATGTATACAGTCCATTAGGAGTGGGACATGGAGAAATATGTAGTATGCCCTATGGGGATTTCTGAAATTAACCTTCAATACCTGTAATGATTCCTAAGTGTCTGTTTCTCACCTGGATATGTATGTTGGGAAATGTTAATACTCATCCCCTTGCTCCCACAAGGAGATTGCATCTGGTTTGAAAAGCTGATAGGGACCAATATAGGACTTGGGGTGTTTGGGCTGGGGACAAAAGAAAATCACTGCAGAATTTGGTCCCAGTCTTTGGCCTTTAGGAACTATGAAAACTGAACAAGCTCAAACCCAAGAAGCTGTACCTTTGCTACTCTACGAATTAAAATTAAATCTTCATTGGGGAATAAAAAGGACACAGGTAATCTATGTGTGGTCAAAATCATCCTGACCTCTGAACTCCACAGCTCTTAATCAATTGGAATCATTTCAATATACAAACTTCATTAATTCTTACCCCAAGAGACCAGGTCCCTGTAGTTCTCTAGGATCACATCTCTAGGATCACACCTCTGATTAGGGTTCAAAGTGCCCTCTTCCTTCTGAGTGAAGTCCACAGTCACAATTTTGAAGTTCACTCCTTCCTAAAACAGGACACACATTCCTGCTCAGCTGGGTATCATTTTCTTCCAGTGTTCACAAAGGAGGAAAAGTTTGACAAACGGTAGAAGGAAAACTTGGCCTGGAAATTGTCCTGACTGTCCAAAGGAAGAGCCAGTCAAGGTGTACAGGTGCCTTTTATGTAAGGCCCTTTGGGTTTTGGATGCTGGACCTGTTTATACCCCAGAGAGGAACACCAGGTCAGAACAGATAGGAATTGTTTTCTCTCTTGTTCACCTTGAAGAAAATGCTTATTCTGATTTTTGCCCTGGTGAATATAAAATTCCCACTTAGGAATTCCCTCCAAATTCCCAAGAAGCTAACAAAACAGGGTCAGCACACTTTTTCTGTGAAAAGGTCAGAGAGTCAACATTTTAGGCTTGGCAAGCCATACAGTCTCTATCACAACTACTCAGCTCTCCTGCAGCAAGAAAGCAGGCACAGAAAATATATAAACAAATGGGTGTGGCTGTATTACAATAAAGTTTTATTTACAAAAGCAGGCGGTGGGCCATATTTGGCCCACAGGCTTTACTTTACTGATGCCTGAAATAGAAGATGAAATGTAGGTCTTAATGAAAGGCAGTGTGTATAGGTTAAGAGCACTGGATTTGGAAAAGGGATGCGTTTTCTCATCTATTAAGAGCAAAGGTCAGGACACCTGGGTGGCTCAGTAGGTTAAGTGTCTGCCCTCAGCTCAGGTCATGATCCCAGGGTCCTGGGATGGAGCCCCACTTTGGGCTCAGCAGGGAGTCTGCTTCTCCGTCTGCCCCTCCCCCCGCCCCTGGCTCATGCTCTCTCTCGTAAATAAATTTACTTAAAAATCTAAAAAAAAAAAAAAGAGCAAAGGTCTGAATTTTAAAAATATATATATCTAATCTGACCATCTGTCTTCTAAGGTCAGTTTATCCCATTTGTATTTATTAGGCTTAATCATACCCAACTCATTGGGTTGTTTGGTGAATTTATTGTACGATATATGTAAAACTATTAGCAATTCACTGAACAAAAAGACAAACGCTGGCAAATGGGATCGAAGGGTGATGGGTATCAAGGAAGGCACTTGTGATGATAAGCGCTGGGTGTTGTATGTAAGTGAGGAAATTTTAAGAAAGGATTATTAGATCTGAGAACTCTGAAAAATTAAGTGACAGCCAATGTGACCTTTATCTTGAACTCTCAAGCTTGAGAGGACAGTTCCATTTTGTCCACACTCAGAGCTGCATTGTAAAGCCTTCAGGAGACACACTGTCGCTACTGACATGCAGAGGGGGTCTCTTGGACTGCCTCCTCTCAGCGAGAAAGGATCCGTTTCCAAGACTACTGGGCAGGAATTTTGATCCAATAAAGTGCTGGGGGTGATCTGTCCTTACCCAAAGGCAGCAAAGGCTGGGGAAGTGGAATGCCACTTGTCACTAAAGGCTTTTTAAGTAGACCTGGTGTTCCTGAGCTGTGGTGCATGAACAGGACAAAGTCCCTGAGTCCCATGTAAGTCCATGCAAAATGCTGCTGTACCTGCATTTTTCTAAGTTGGGACCCATAAATTTCACTGAAACCTCAGAAGTTTTCATGATTACCACAAAACGGGATTCAGAAATATCATTTGCACACTGCCACCTATGTTGAACATGGATCTACAGGTACTGTTTTCCAAGCTCCAATTCCTACTTCCTTTTCATAAACACTCCCCTTCACTGTTTAACACAGGTCCCTTTAATATCAAGCTTGTCCAGGGGCGCCTGGGTGGCTCAGTCGGTTAAGTGTCTGACTTCAGTTCAGGTCATGATCTCAGGTCCCTGCATCAGGCTCCCTGTTCAGGAGGGAGTCTGCTTGTCCCTCCGCCCCTCCCCCCGCTTGTCCTCGCTCTCTCTCTCTCAGATAAATAAATAAAACATTAAAAAATATATCTGGCTTATTCAAATGTCAAATAAATAATACCGAACTAGATTAGCACGCCTCCCTCTGACTCCACCCCCAGTTATATGTTCTGAAAGTTCCATGGATTTCTATCCTAAGACTCACCACACGTTCTGTTCATTTGCATAATGGTCATCTTTGTCACTAGGCTGCAATCCATGAGGGCAGGGGTAAGGTAGTGACTGTTTGTAACTATTAACTCCAGTGCTCAGCATAGTACAGTAGTTATGAAATATATATATTTGGCAAATGATTTCAATGAGTGAATCCATAGTATCAACAGACTTCGTAATATCTCAAAATAATCTGATTTTTGGTCCAAATTCTGATTTAAGTCCTCTCTCTCACCTGAATCTCAGAGGCCTATCACACACCTATCTGAAAAGTCCCTTCAATGTGTGGATACTGGTTTTTCTCCACTTTTATCTCCATTTATTCTATCCTTCTTCTCACCTGCCCCAACTCCCCACTCCTCAAAATTCCTTCCCAGACCCTTCAACTTTGTCCTTGGGCACTCTACTTCTAAATAACGAAACCCTACAGCTTCAACATCATCACCAAATATTCCCTCTATATCCTCGTGTTAATGGAAACCTACATTTCCCCCCAGTGACCCCCTCCTCTGCAGGCCCCACAGGCTCACAGTCGCTCAGCATCAAAGGGGGAGGGTGTGTGTCCTCCCAGTTACACTGAAACTCACGCCATTTACCTTACTTCTTGGACCTTTGTCCTACCAACCACCTGAACACTAACCCCAATCCAAGGGAAATGTATAATACCTCGGATGCATCCTCTACTTTAAGAACTTGTCTTGTCTTGCACTGTCTCTAGCATCCATTTGTAAAGTTCTCTGATAATAATATAAAACTAATTGACTTTTTAATTTTTTTAAAAAATTGAAAAAATTTTTCAAAGATTTATTTACTTATTTTAGAGGGGAGGGGTAGAGGGAAAGGGAGATAGAATTTTAAGCAGACTCCGTGCTGAGCACAGAACCCAACGCAGGGCTCGATCTCGTGACCCTGAGATCAGGACCTGAGCCGAAGCCAAGAGTCAAATGCTTAACTGACTGCCCCACCCAGAAGCCCCTAAAACTGACTGACTTTAATGAGGCACTTTCTGTGTGCTATCAGTCTGTGAGCTAAGCATGTTGCATGAACTATCATTCATTGAATTCTCACAAGGTCCCTGAGAGAAAATACTAGTAGCAGCACCTTTTTTTTCTTTTTTCAGATGAAGAGCTAGAAGGAGAAATTAACACATATGTCTGAAGTCAGTGGCTGGGATGCAGCCTCCAACTTCGCCTAACATGCGTTCTCAGTCATCAATGCCTAGCGCTAGCCCAACTCCCAGCCCCTAGAATTGCTCCTCAGCACCCTGCTCTTACGGTGAGACCCCAGACCTTGAAATCACCAGAAAGTACTCCACCTCTCATGTCACACAGACAGAACGCTCTACAACATCAGACTGCTCTCCCTTACTCGTCTCATCCTTTATGGTTTGGGGCCATTACTCAAGTATCTACTATTACTATCCACTGGTCTGTATTCTTTTCCTTCCCATTTAATGCCCCTCTTATCTTTTCCATCTTAATTATTCCGTTTAGAGTAATTAGATCGTTCATTTTAATCTTTCTATTTGTTCTATTCAAAAATCCTCTTTCAAATAGTACCTTGCCCTATGGGGCTTTTCACTGAATGTACCTGGCTTACAAGAACGAACCTGAATGTCAATCTACGATCTACAGAAAGTAGGTTCCGGAATGCCACTGAGAAAGAAAACTCCCAAGAGCAGCTATATAGAGTACTGTCAGTGGTCACTACCTGGAATGATCTTTTTGGACTGACCGGCAACCCTGTCATACCTCCTGGAGCTGCTTGTCTCTCATAATCCAATGGTACTGTTTTTCAGCCCTCTCCACCCATGTCAAGCACCTCTCCATTCCAATTTCCAGTCCTATGCCCAACAGATAACCACCTGACTGCTCCCAGAGAAGAATCTGAGCATTCCAAGAATTCCCTCACCCTCATTCTTCCTGTACAGGTCGGTCCTCCCTCCTCGGCAGAGCCAACACGTTCACCTGAAAGATCTCCTCTGGTGCTAATCAAGCACTCTGCTTTGTCGTTTTAACTCCTCTCTCCACTTACGTCTTTCTGCAACCACTGAAATAGAGTCAAATCTTTTCAATCCTTTAAAGGGAGGAAAAAAAAAAAAAAGAAGCCCTCAACTTCAAACCTCCTTGCAGCCATCACTCTCTTCAATCTTTAGCATGAGAACTGACCACGTTTTTGTAAAAGCTGTCCGCTTGTACCTCCGTTTCCTCCCTTTCTGCTCACCTCCCGGCTCACTTCAAGATAGTCCCCGCTGCCAAGTGGCTATGCACATTTCTCTATGGAGAGAGGCCAACTCACCTGGGATGGAAGGGCCAGTGACCCAGCATCTTCTCTCTCGACCTTGACGATAATCTCTGGAGGAAGGAGAGAGTCCTGAGGAAGCAAAACAGATGAGGAAAAGGAAAATAACCAGGAAGCTAAGTTGTGATGCAAAACTCCCACTGTGAGTAGGCTAGGATTTGAAAAACCACCTGTTTTAACACATCCCACCTACAGTACTTCTGCTCCCTCCCGTTGGTAAGCTCAAGCTAGCCATGTGGAGAGACAGGGGACATCTGAAGGGGCAATGAGGCACCGGACATGGGCATGAGGTCCTTGTGGATCTTCTAGGCCAGCCCAGCTACCAGTTACATGGAACTGAGTGACTCGACACAACGTGGGCAAAAAGAACTGTACAACCATGTTGTCGGAATTCCTGGATCACAGAATTATAAGAAAATAAAAAAGAACACAGCATGACCAAAGAATCATAAAGAGAAAAGGTCCAAAATGTAACTTCATAAAACGTTTGGCAGAAAGCCAACACACACAACAAAGGCACCATCAACAAGAATCCATACTATTAAGACTTGGTCTAAATCAGTAAGAAAAAGGTACCTTTAACAGTACAAGGGACAAAGGGCTATGCACATGCAACTCAACCATGAAGAAATAAAATGGCCAGCGAATACACCAAAAGATGCTCACCTCTTTAAGTCAGATAATATCAAAGCTCTATTTCTGTAACTACTTATCTCTCTCTATTAGAGGCTATCAGTTCACGCTGATGCCTCCAATGACCGTTCAACAGCGCATTTTATTCTAGCCTTCCTGCTTTCCGTTTTTGTGCCTTAACCAGCTCCCATTATCCTCTTTCTATTTACTTATTTGCTCAGACCGCTCTGTGTAACCAAAATCCCGACTGCGTGGACTAGTTCTTCTGCCTGTTGCTAAGGACTCCCACCCTGGTGGCCCGCCAGTCAAGAGCATCATACTCCATCAGCGGGGGTTTACGTTGCTACAACCTTCCTGCAGGGTTGCACCCACATGCCCACGCTCTCCCTCCCTCTCCCCCTCCTTTTCCCCTCTCCTTCCCTGCTTTGTGTGCTGGAGCTGCCTCAATGTAAAGAAGGCCCGAGGAGGGGCGCCTGGGTGGCTCGGTCATTAAGCATCTGCTTTTGACTCACGTCAGGATCCCAGGGTCCTGGGATCGAGCCCCACATCGGGCTCCCTGCTACGGGGAGCCTGCTTCTCCCTCTCCCACTCCCCCTGCTTGTGTTCCCCCTCTTGCTGTGTCTCTGTCAAATAAATAAATAAAATCTTTAAAAAAAAAAGAAAAAAAAGAAGCCCCGAGGAGAAAGTTCAGCTGCTAATTTGCCTGTGTTACTGCCCAGCATAAACAGCAGGATGGTTCATCCACCTTACAGTGGCCACGTGGGCATTGCTAAAGAGCTCCAGGTGCCAAACGAACGAAGAAACCACACTCACAAGGCCACAATAACAATTTCAAAACTTCAAAACATGATCCAGGGGAGCCACCAAGTTTTGACTCGTGTATCATGGGAACTCGGCTGCGGAGAGAAATGATATTCCTGATGCGCAACAACGCCAAACAAGTCTTCCCTTGCTACAAAAGTGGTTGACATTAAATTCTAATGACATAAGAGCCAGAAGTTAATGCATCCTGTAATATAAAGAAGCAAATGCCCAAGGAAATGAGAATTTTTCAAAAAAGGGAAACTTACAAACACTAGACTGTATTTTAAATTATTATCCTCTTTCTGGGTTTTGTTGTTGTTGCTGTGTTTTGTCTTGAAACAGCTGAGATAAGTTAAGAAATGATGCCAAGAACTGAACAAGCTAATGTTTCTAACTCAGCGGGTACTTGGTAGAAACTAAACTCCAGCATGTTCCTTGTCTGCTACAACTGCTGAGACAATCTTACTTGGGGAATATGGGTGCGCCTTCTCTTTCATCAAGACTGTTTCCAACACCTTTTGAGTTAAAAGTTCTCTTCGGAAGAAAAACAAAAGGGAGACCAGTCTGCTCAGAGTCAATTCTGCCTCAATGTCCTTCCCCGCCCCCACCCAAGCAGCCGAAGCCATCCCTGTCCCCTGCTTTCGCTCCTTTGCATCACCATGTCCTCACACCTCTGGGTTTTGTCCACTTCCACTAGAGCGGGCTCCGTAAGAGCTGGCTCTTGTCTCCTGTTCAACACGGCTTCACTGTGCTTAAATCAGTACTGACACAGAGTGGGCACTTCGTACACGCGTGCGGACAATAAAACCACCACCGAGAGAAGGTACATGGAACGTGGTCCCGGGAGGCACCAAATCACTGCGGAGATCCCAGCTGCTCTGCTGGTTAGAAGAAACCTCTGATGGGTACCCTTGTTCCTCTAAAATTCAAAGCACCAGCCTCCAGAACCTACTCCTACTGACTTATTCAAACTAAATGTTCAAAAACCACCTTGTCACAAAAGTGTGTGAACACCCACCCACACTGGATTACTATTTTAGGAACGTCCCCTGTATTTGTATCTTAGCTGGTGCAGTTTCCTCCAGATAATGTCACCGGTCACCTGCCAGGTATGTTTCAACAACCACAGAGTATTCAACATAGAATATCTCATAAATTTTTTTAAAAAGATTTATTTATTTATCTGAGAGAGAGAGAGAGCAGGGGGAGGGGCAGAGGGAGAGGGAGAGAGAGAGAGAATCCTCAAGCAGACTCCCCAGTGAGCGTGGAGCCCGACACAGGGCTCGATCCCAGCACCCTGAGATCATAACCTGAGCCGAATCAAGAGTCAGACACTTAATGACTAAGCCCCCCGACCAGGTGCCCCAATTATCTAAACATTTTTGAAGGGAGGAGTAATATGTCTCTTTCACCAACGCAGAGATTAATGGTAATAATGTTTAGCAAACTTTTTAAGTCCACCAAGTTCACCAGAGATGGTCCAAGCGCCAATTGCCTGATCCAAACTCTGCCCCTTTCCTCTGCCCCATGGCTCAAACTCTCATCATTCAGGCCACCTCTTCCAGGAAGCGTTCCCGGACAGCACACAGTCTCTTCTTCCCTTAGGATTTCTTAGCTCTTGTACCTTTACTGTAACAGTAAAATCACTCTCTCCTTGTATTATTGCTTCCATTTCTACACCTCTCCCCTGGGTCACGAGCTGGGTGCTGTAAAGAACTATTTTTCATCTTTGTACCTCAGTATTGAGTAGGAGCACATGTGAGTTATCAGAATTTGAAAGGATTAGACATATGGGCAGGGTTTGGGGAATATGAATGGAATTAAAAGCCTTTTATTTTTTTTTCACTATTAACTATTTATTTACAGCTTTACTGAGGTATGGTTGACAAAAACTATCTATTATTTAAGGTGAACAACATGATTTTTTTTAGATATGTGGACACTATGAAATGAGTATCACAATCAAGCTAATTAACGTGTCCAGCACCTCACACAGTTACGTTTTTTTTGGGGGGGGGTATGATGAGAACACTTAAAATTAATTCTGCATGTTGAGACTGACAAGGGACAGATGAGGCTCTACCACCCGTGTGGCAAGGTTCTGGTCTCAGCCCCCGACAGCAGGCAGGGCCTTCCCTGGCCCAGCTACTACCAATATTTGAGAGATTAAAATCTCTCAGGTGATGTCCAGCAGGCTGGCTCACTGGACTCACCTCCCTCACTTAGCACCAAGACTTGGGCTCCCCTGATTTCTCTTCCTGCTGGGGCTTTAACTGGTATCCATCAGGCCCAAACAAAGTACTTGTGCATCTTCTGATAATGATTAAAACTTACTAGAGGACACTCAGAGTTGAGAAGTGTGCCAGCCAGCCTCTAAGATGGCCTCCAGTGGCCCCCACCCTCCTGGAATTTACACCCTCTGCAGTCCTTGCCCACACGATACCAGCGGGTCTGTGTGACTGACAGATTACAGAAGAAGTGATGCTGGGACGCCTGGGTGGCTCAGTCGGTTAAGTGTCTACCTTCGGCTCAGGTCATGATCTCAGGGTCCTCAGATCGAGCCCCAAGTCAGGCTCCCTGCTCAGTGGGGAGTCTGCTTCTCCCTCTGCTCCTCCCCACCCCCACTCATGCTCTTTCTCTCTCTCTCATACAAATAAATCTTTAAAAAAAGAAAAAAGAAAAAGAAAAAGTGATGCTGTGTCACTTCTGAGATCAGATGGTAAAAGACACTGTGGTTTCCATCTTGGCTGCGTGCAATTAAGCGCTCTCTCTCTTCTCTCTCTCTTTCTCAGGTCCTTTGCTCCAGGAGAAACCAGCAGCCCTGGGGAGAGGTCTGTGTGGTGTGGAACTAAGGCCTCTTGTCAACAGCCATGTGAGTGAGCTGGCAAGGGGGTCCTCCTACCCAGTCAAGCCTTCTGAAGAGAGCAGCCCAGGCCGACAATTTGCCGCAACCTTGTCAGAGACGCTGAGCACCAGAAACATCCAGAGAAGCTGCTCCCAGGTTCCTGACCCTAAGAAACTGTGTGCGATCGAAAATTTTGGTTGTTTTAAGCTGCTGAGTTTTGGGGTATGAAACCACAGATGACTAATACAAGAAGGAAGATGTTTCTTCTTTTCCTGTGTAGCCTTGGAATATACAAGAAGAGCATTCACGTCTGAGAACTAGGTCAGCTTTCTCCCTAGCACCTCACATGGGGCCTTACACTGGCTAGGCAGTCAATGAATATGTGATGAAGGTAAAAATTATAATGAACAGATTGCTAGTTCAGTCATGTAACAGAAAAAAATGGCAAAAGAACTATGAAGGTTCCAGAAAAATACCCGGTCACTAGCTTAAAGTAGAATGCCAATGGTCACAATCAAAGCACACTTTACTGGTAGTTTTGACAAAGTGTGAATGTACTTATCTAAATTTAAATGCATAACTCCCTCTAAAACTCTTGCACTATTAGTAGTTAAATTTTGGGGAAGTCAAAAGTTACACATGGATTTTCAACTATACAAGAGGGTAGGTGTTCCTAACCCCTGCCTTGTTCAAGGGTCAACTGAACAGGGAATCATACACAAAAACATTTACAAAAGTGCTATTTGTACCAGCAAAACACGGAACACTAAATATCTATTAACAGTATGCCCATAAATTCTGGGGTTATCTCTGCGGAAATCTGGGTGCCAGGCGTGCATATTGGTATCAGAATGTCACTGTTCCCAGGCCCTGACGGTGGACAGAAATAGGGTCATACGAAAACCACGAGCCACAGCAATCCCCACAGTCCCCACTGAACACTAAAGTGCATTCCACTGCTGCTCTAGCCACATGTGATTGTGGGAACCCCGGCTTCCATGAGCCTTACGGTATTTACTCACCTGGCCAGCCTCCGCCCCTGCGGATAACTCATCTCCCATCCCCACTGCCACTCCCTCTCCCACACAGATGCTCCCCGGCCCCCCTGGACTTGGCCCTCCTCCGCCTCCTCCGCCTCCTCAGCCTCTGACTCTGCAGGCAGGTGGCTTCTTCTTAGGGACTCACTCTCATGCCGTTTGGACTTGGACTCCACATGGATGACCTTGACTTCTGGCCTGGGCTCGGGCTGTCATACCCCACGCGGGGCTTCCCTCATGCGTTGATGACCTCAACCTGCTTCGGGTGTGACGCACCACACACGCACCACACCGAGAGGTGCCCCCGGCCCCAGCATCTTACACCACACGGGTCACCCTTCGCATGGACTGACCGCACTTGGGCTGTCCCCTCTGTGGACGCCCTTCTCACCTGCTCTTACACCACACGGGTCACCCTTCGCATGGACTGACCGCACTTGGGCTGTCCCCTCTGTGGACGCCCTTCTCACCTGCTCTGGCTCTCTCATCCCAAAGCAGATCCCCCCCCACCAGACGGACACTCACCTCACCCCACCTGGGCTCCGGCTCTCAATGCCACCTTCCTCACCCTGTTTGGTCACTGATGCCCCCACACACGGACACCCTTCTCACCCCACAGGATGGAGCCCTCCCTCAACCACAGACCCCTACCCGGCTGTGACCCACCGAACGGCTTCAGGATTGAACGGTTTAGGAAGGGGGAGTGAAATTCTAACGGAACATTTTTAAGAAGTTAAATGTTTTCAAAGAATATTTGTCGTAGGGAAATGCTTTAAGTTGTTGATTTCTTAACCTTAAAATGTGCTCTACAGAAGCAGAAAACGATAGACAAGAAATGAAAACATAAAGTCACTCGGGATGTAACTTGCACATAATCTTTGTTAACTGGCATATTTATACTCTTCTAACACATTTTCTATACACACACAAACTACATCCCTTTTTAAAAAGATGATCATTCCTGGGGGAACCTGGGTGGTGCAGTCGGTTAAGCATCTGACTCTTGGTTTCAGCTTGGGTCGTGATCTCATGGTCATGAGATCAAGCCCCATGTCGGGCTCCACACTCAGCAGAGTCTGCCTGGGATTCTCTCTCTCCCTCTCTCTAAATAAATAATCTTTAAAAAAAAAAAAAAGATGATCGTTTCTAAACCTTATTTACTTAACATAGATCCTACATATCTTTGTATGTTGGGAAATACGCATTCTCACATCAATGTCCACAGCATATTCCATTTCATGGTCTCCCCATAACTCTTTTAACATTTCTCCTGCATGGCCCATTCTCAATTTTTTCCAATTGCTCGTTCCCAAGCAAAACTGGGAGTTGCTGCCCCAGGGGAATCAGTACTCTAAGGGCCTCTGATACAGGGTGCGAAACTCCTCCCGGGAAGAATTATCTGGGTTAAAATGGTGAGGAAATGCAGGGAGCCTCCTAAAATGTAGAGTGTCTCAAGTCAGGAGAGACCAAAAGCCCCCAAAACACTGCAAAGAGAGCCAGGTCAGCTCCCAAGCCTGGAGGGTTGGGCTGTGGGGCCAGGGGTGGGGTGGGGTGGGGAGCAAGCTCTAAGCTCTGGGTCTCCTCGAGGAAGGAAAGTTCCACTCACCTGTGCACAGGTCTTCAGGGGCTCTGGGGGCTTCTCATCCTGCTCTTCCATGCTCTCCTCCAGGCACAGGCAGAGGCCTGAGGGTCCTGAGCTGCAAGGGTAGAAGCCCTTAGAAGAGCAACCTGGCGCAGCTCCACCGTGGCGCCCCCCTCCCTGGATTAGTCTCCACTTCCAGGACGCATTCCCCGTGGCAAGCTTGCCTCTAGAGGTTTCTACCTGAAAAGCTGTGCATGCACGTAGAGTCCCTCAGTCCCTCTCCCAGGCCAAGACTCTGCAGCTCTGGTACAAACGGGTACCCCCACTACTATCACAGGCCTCTGGACCCCCTAACTATAAGTCATGCCCAAACAAAGCCTTCTGCCCACCACCAAAATCTGCAGTACACGTCAGTCCCTCCCTGCCCCACTGGGCTGTGGAATCCTCACAAATGCCCAGCACATTGAGGACCCCCTAGGGCGCACTCCTCCCCCACCATGACCCGAATCTGCAGCCCTAAACCAGCACCCCTTCCTTGGGCAAGGAGCTGGGCTTCTGGGACTGACCACCCAGAATCACACTCCCCGACTGAATGCATGAAGCTCGTGACACAGCCCCACCCCTCCCAGGATCCGACCCCTCCATTAACCTGGCCTGACCCTCTCGCAACCTGTCATGAATCACCTCCCACTTCCTGCTCAAATAACCAAGCATATTCATGGAGCTTGGCTGCACCATCCTGCGGTCTACTGGCCCCTACCAGAACAGCACCAGCCGGATCCCCAGCCCCAAACTCTCCTGAGCCCCGAACATGTAGCTCAGACCTGGTCCCTCCACCAACATGGGTATCCTCAGGCCTGAATCAGCAACAGAGCCGGCATGGGCCTGGGAGCTTCCTGACAAACTCCAGCACATGCCACCTGCTCTGAGGCCCAGAATGTGGACCTCGGCTGTCTTTGTGCCGGCTCAATATTTCTGGGTCTGAGACTAGAACAGCCCCTGGCAAATCCAAGCCCACACACCATCTTACCAACCCTACCCCATCCTCCCCCTCCTATCCACACCCCCTTACCCCCACCGGAGTCTCACTCCAACAGTACAGTGTGGGTTCCCAATGCAGCTGTGTCCTGAACTTGCACACACACCATTTCCTCCACCAACATCCATAGGCCCCTACTTGAGCCACACCTGCCCAAATGTCCTTCTGGGCACCTGCTGCTTAGGGAGATCCTGTCTTCCCACCAACCTGGGTACCGCCAGGCTGTGATTAATGCACCCTCGGCACAAAGACCCCCAGTACCCTCTAATTCCCACCTCCAGCCTCCTCTTCCCCATCCAAATACCAGTGTGTGAGCACAAGGGGACACGGAGCAGCCCTAATCCTCCATAGCCCCGAATCTGCAGGTGCTCCCTCCACTCATTTGGGCATCCTCAGGCAGTACCAGGGTCCTAGGACTGCCCATGCCTCCCCATTCTGCCCAAATGCCAGGTGTCCCAAGACCAGAACCTGCAGCTCCAGCAGCGACTGCCCCAGGCCACCCACCTAGGTTCCCTCCTCCTGCTGGCACAACACAGAGCAGGCTCACTCCCAGAATCTGCACGCAGGACCTGGGCCTTCCACCAGCCCGAGAGTACTGTGCAGTCCCTGCTCCTGAGATAAGAAGCTGCATCTCCCACTCTGCACCTCAATACCCGAGATACCTCAAGTACCCACAAGCCTCTGGAGGATTCTAGGGTCACCTGCCCCACTGCCTGCTCACACACCAGAATATCAGAACACCCAAACAGTAGCTTGAGCAAAGAATTCCAGAGTCAGCCCCGGGACTTGAGCACTCACCATCTGGGGGTTCTCAAGCTCATGATAGAGCAGCTCCCATGGGAACCAGGCCCTTTTGCTTCCTCCAGTACAAATGTGAGCCCCTGAATGCCACAGAGTACAGCCCCCTCCAGGTCCAAATATGCAGCCCAGACTCTGTCCCTCTGTCCCTGGGCATTCTCGTGCCTGCAAGCAGAGCAGCCCCTGAGCAAAGGTCCTGAGAATGCCTACTTTGAGATCATGCTCGTAGCACCCTGCTTCCTTACCAAAGTGCTGTCAATTTCATGCAGATGCTGCAGTTCTGTTCTTCCTGGACGCCAATTCTGCACCTCTAACCCAAAGTCTCCACCAAACCTGAATGCCCTAGCGCCTTGAGCTATTCCAGGATTACCAGTCCAAATTCTTGCTTCCCATTCAAACACCCCCAGCACGTGCAGGGAGCGGTCTGCCTAGAACCCACCCCCTGGCCCTGGTCCCTCCTTCAACCTAGCAGTCTGCAGCCCATCAACGATTCTCAGAGGGTTCGCTCAAGCAGCACTGCCTCTTCTGGAGCAAGAATCAGCAGCTCAAACCTGGTCTCTCCACTACCTAGGGCGCCCCTCGGGTCCCCAAGCCAATCGCCCAGAATCTCACCTCCCACTCCATGCTTCCTACTCAAACGCCTGCTCAAAATACAGGGATAGTGGCAGAGCTCCTCTCCTCCAAATCTGCTGTTGAGTACTCCATCAACCCGGGCTTCAGTCCTCTGAGCCTGCACTAAACCGGCCTAGCACTGGTGGAGGGGAAGGCGGGGTTCTCAAGATCTCCCCACATCCCAGCGTATGGCCTGTTTTCACCAACCTGGGCATTCTCAGGCCTGGGACAAGAGCACTACCCGATCAAGCACTCGCGCAGGCCCTCGGTCCCGAATCTGCAGCTGCACCAGTATCTCCACCTACTTCGGGGACGCAAGGCTAAAGCGCCGCCCGCGAAGGTACCAGATCGCCCACCCAACACTCCCAACCCGTTTCCCGCCTACACCCTGCGCATGCGCGCACGGGACACCCAGCGCCGCCCCGCCCCTCACCGACCTGGGCGTCCACGGGCTCGCGGCCGAGGCCGGGCCTGTCCCAGCTTCAGGGCCCGGCACGGCTCTGCGGCAGGACGAGGTCGGGTTAAACAACCCCCGGCGCCGATTCTGCACACTACAGACTCGGGTTAAGTTAGTTCGGCCCCCCTCCCCTAGTCGGCATCCGCAGGGCCGCTCGACTAATGTCCGACCCCAGGCACGCGGCGACTGCAGGCGCCAGCGCGCGCGGGACAATGGCTGCGTTTCTGGCCGAACCCGGAAGTGCGTTTGGGCTCGGCGAGCCGGGACTACAATTCCCAGAAGCCTCAGCGGCGCCGGCGGCGATTAGGCGGGAGTACAGCTCCTCCCGGAGGCGAGCGTGGGGATTACGGCCAGGCGCGCCCGGTTGGGGTAGCTGCTGGGGGCTGTGACTGTTGTGTGCCCGAGCTTTTGCGGGGCGCCAAGACAAGGAGCAGGACCTGGAGGGCCAGGTCTGGGCCCCGATGCGTAGGCAGTGGCTAACTTGGGAAAGGCTGGCCTGGGACCGGCTGGACGCCCAGGAGCGGCCGTGAAAACGGGATCCGATGGAAGGGCGGGGACCCCTCCCGGGCGCCCACTGCTTTGTCAGACGCTTCGCGCGCGCGGTTTCCTTTTTGGTCCTCGAGCCCAAAGATAGTGGCTACAAGCCCGCTACACAGTCTGGGGAGCTCCTGTCAAGTCCTTCAAGAATCTGACTTGCTGATTATGTTTTTGTAGCTCATGATGGTAAAATAGCAAGAATCCTTTCGTTTTTTTAAATTGAGTTCTTTCTCTGCCTGTAAGGCTTTAAGGATCTGTTCTCTATCCCTCCCCTTCGCTTTTTGCCTCATCTGACCATTTTTCTCTCTCAGTTCCAGCCACGCTGGCCTTTCCACCTTCTCCAGCACCTCCCTTAGGCTCCCACCTTGGGACCTTTGCATGTGCTATTCATGCTGCCGGCAGGCTCTTACTTTGAGGATTCCCCTGGATTCCAGCCATCTAAGTCTTTAGGTAGATGTCACCTTCTCATGAGGCATTCCCCCATCAACCGTTGAAAGCTCGCAAACAAACCCTTCACTCCCCACGTACTCCCTGCTTCCCTCATCTTTATTCTCTAGAGAACTTTTCACTAACATAATCATATGTTGTCGGTATTTATTTGGTCTGTTACCTGCCTTCACCACTAGACTGTCAACTCCATGAGGGAAAGGATTTGTATCTACCTTGATTAGTGCCGTATCCCCAGCATCCTAAGGTACCTAGCACATAATAGATGCTCAATAAATACTTGGTTTGTTTTGAATAAATAAAGGTTCTTGGCCCTTTGTTAAACACCTTAACATCTCGTTAATTGGTGCAATCACCCTGTGAGAAAACAGTGATGTTTATTTCCACCCCACCAGGGAGAAGCTGATAATTGGAGCCCTGCTGTATGAAAATATGACATTTTAAAGGTTTTCTTTTTTATTACTGTCAAAATACTCCTGTAGTTTTCTTCACATAACTTCTAACAACAAATTATTGCTATTTGAAATGTAATCTCTACCCCCCAAATTTCTTATGATTGGTTATTGTGGTTGATTTTTTATTCTTTTAAAGATTTTTACTTATCTCTTTGAGAGCATGAACGTGCACGCACGCGAGAGAGAAAGTGAGAGAGAGAGAGAGAGGCAGACTCCCTGCTTAGCAGAGAGCCCAACACGGGGCTCAGTCCCTGGACCCCAAGGTCATAACCTGAGCTGAAGGTAGATGCTTAACTGACTAAGCCACCCTGGCACCCCTGAAATGTTAGGAATTTTTATTGTATTTCCTTTGATACTCTTGGCTTTTCTAGTGAGACAATCATCTACAGATAATTATTTCATCTCTTCCTTGCCAATATGTTTAGCCAGATAGTTCCTTGCATTTGGATTGTGTTGGCTATCATTTTCACAGTAGAAGTGACATTCTTGATTGTGTTCTCTTTTTAATGGGCATCACTCTAATGTTGAGGGTTAAATATAGTTGTTTTTTTAAATGGAAGTAGGTAACTTATTGGTTTTTTTTTTTTAACTTTTTGTTACATAAATTTCCAGCACGAAAGTAGAGAGACTAGTTAAAGGGCACCCTCTTTGGCCTGTCATGCAACTTAATTTTCCACTGGACCTTTTCTCATCTCTAGCCCCACCTGTGCTTTCCACTGTCCTCCTCCTCCAGTGGTTTTGAAGCAACTCCTACACATTATTTCATTTCATCTGTGTTTCAGTATGTGTTCGAAAAACAGGGACTGGTTTTAAAACCAAAACTTCAGTACAAAATTGATATGCATCATGGGGTACCCAGGTGGCTCAGTTGGTTGAGCATCCAACTCGAGATTTCAGCTCAGGTCTTGATCTCAGGGTCATGAGATCCAGCCTCACATCTGGCTCCACATCCAGTGGAGATCCTCTCTCTCCCTCTGCTCTTCCCCACCTGCTAGGACACTCTATCTCTCAAAAAAAAAAAATAGATATGCGTCATACCGTTAGGCACAGAGAATGCAAAATTACTATGATTAGCAGATATGATTACAAACCACAAGACCCAAGAGAATTAACTAAAAGAAATGAACATCAAAGAGAGGCTAGAAAGGCATCGAATGTGAAACAGATAATGGTAAATATTTATGTACCACTCTATGCCAGGTACTGCTGTAACATCCTTATAAACGTTTCTCACTTAGTCCTCATAGTAATTCATACAAGGTTGGACTGTTATTTCCATTTTATGGAAGATGACACTGAGGCCCAGAAGTGTTAAGTTACTTACCCTGGATTGTATTGTGAGGACAGAGCTGGGATTGAGTCCAAGGAGTCTGATGCTAGAGTTCATGATCTTAACTCTTACATTATATTGCCCCTTGCCCACCTATCAATATCTTTCCTCTACATGAGCCATACTAAGTTTGCAAACAAGACAGGACAGTTTATATTTATTCATAATAGAAGCAAAAAAAAGGAAGCATAAGAAGAAATCTTCAAAACCCCAATGACAGACATAAAAGACATAGAATCACCATACTACAAGCTGTGTTGTAAAGATGTCAAATATTGCAGAACGATCTACAGATTCAGTATGCAAATATGAGAAAATCATGATGGGATGCTTTGACCATGAGCTCATCTTCCCCTTTTTTCTGTATTTTTCCATTTTTTAAAAAAATTTAAGATATTCAGACATTAATGCATTAGTAATATATGATTTAAAGCTGACTTCAGCTTTTGCTTGCTCTTCTTTTCTTCTTCTTTCAAAATGAACAAGATGGTAAGTTTTACTTCCAGGAGCACCCAAATCCTGACCTAACCTGAATGTTACAGAGACTTCAGAACAGCTACTACTGAGAAACAGGAACTCATTCTAGGGAGATGCTCATCGAACCCAGAGGTTTCTCTATCAGCCAAGTTTCATATTGAGGTTCTATTGGCCAGGATTTGGGTGAGGACACAACACACACTGAGAAACAAGGAGGTCATGAATCCATTTGCTCTAAATGCTGGATGATAAAGGCAAGAGTCACTAGAGGGGGAGTATAACCTGTCCCTGGGATACTGGGGGGTGGCAGATTCGCGGCAGTGGGGAGAAAAAAAGCCCTTTTCCTTTGCTCAAGCCTCTTCTCAAACTATAAACATTGGAGGGACCCAGGGCTTAGTTATTAGCCCCTACTCTTCTCTGTCTTTATCCACTTTCTTTGCAATCTGTAGGGGAAAGGGTTAACTCAACAGGCCTAGGGTATTCAAACCCAAGAAGGGCCTATTTCCATAACTAGCTCTTGGTTGGCTTCCAGGAACTGAGCTCTTGTAATGTTCTATCTGATAAAGGGTTTTTGCAGGCCTGAGGCCTTGAGCCATGCTGTACCAGCTTGTCCATAGTTTATACAAACAACGTGCTCTATGGTGAACACCAACTTTTCTTCTATAGGGGTCTGGAGCTTTGGTGACAGGTCAGTCTTAGACCTCCTATAAAAACCCTGAACACTCAGGTTCAGGGTGAGCTTCCCAGGTTGGCAACCCTTCACAAGTGTTGTCATACATCATTGCTGGGGAATTCTCCAGTGACTCTGAGAAAGGACACTGGAAGTTTGCGTGTAGTGTCCTCCAGACTTCACCCCATGCACCTTTCCCTTTGCTGACTTTATTCTCTCTCTTTTTGCTATAATAAACCACAACCATGAGTATAACAACTTCTTGGGTCCTGTGAATCCGTCTAGCAAATCATCGAGCCTGAGGCTGGTCTTGGAGAACCCTGACACAAGATCTCCTACAGCCTCATAACTTTAAGCCCCACCAACAACTCCCAGATGTTTCTCTCTCCCACCCTGTTCTATCTAGACTTTTATGAACAACTGCCTGTTTTATTCTCCAGCTAATCTATTTTTGACATGCCTAAAGCAAATTCTTGATTTTCCTTCTTTATCCCAAACGTGCCCCTCCCTCATCGTTGCCTCAGAAAGCGGTCAGCCAGTCATTCAGGTGCTCTGGCCAGAAAGGAGTCCTTGACTCCTCACTCTGTCTTCACCAGATCTGACTCTCATCACCCCCACCCCCAAATCCCTTGGGATTCTAAGCATCTTGCATCTGCTCCTCCCCCAGGTGCCTCAGTCTCTTGTGTCATTCTGTTTTTTCCTGTCATCATCTCTTAATAGCTCCTTGTCTCTCATCCTCTGCCATGATTTGAAAAGACTGGCCCCCGTATACATCCCCTGCTCATCTTTGGCTGGCTCACACCCCCCACACCCGGCTGCTGTGTCCATCCCCAGTGTTTGCCCATCCTCGTGATATAGCTATGGCATCTCCAGCTGCTGGGTCTCGAACCTTGGCCCGCTAATTCTGGGTCACTTTCTCCCTGTCTTTATTGCTTTTAAAGAAACATGAATCAAAAGCCCAAGATTTGGTGGGAGCTAGGGTCCAGAGCTTGAAAAACACATTAAAACAGAATGTCGCAAGGTCTACAAAGAGAATGGCTGGAATATAATAGGCACCCAATAAATTTCATTGAATATGTGATTGAGCGTGATTCCTCTAGGATTTCTGGAGAAAGGAAATCTGCTTCCATTAGACTCAGGGGTTCACTTGGCAGTAAATGCTGTGTTCTGGATTCACAAGCACCTGTTACACAAAGAGAAAAGATGAGTTCCATTTTCTGGGTAGGCCTTCCTGGTCTACTTGCTATATTTAGTCCAAGGGCCAGGTATTCTGGCACTGTTC